ATATATATATTATAATATTATTATATATATAATTACTATATAATACTACTATATATATATATTAATATGCCTACTCACTTATTATTATATATAATATATATTATATATATATATATATATAATTCTTATATAATATAATATATACTATTATATATATATGATATTACTTATGTATATATTGTTATGTACTGCATCTTGTGTTTATTAAATCATTTTGTCGGAATAATGATATCTTATATATTGCCGCTAAATTGATGAAAGCCATTTCCCCTTAATCTGCCCATGTCATTAATTAATTTTTAATATATCTGATAGCCAGTCATCAGATATCAGCAAATCACAATACCTTCCTATCTACTGGCAATCTTTTACTAATTTGATGACACTCAATTTTTCATGTGAGGCGAACTTTCAGAAAAAAAAACTACTATTTTTCCATCTGACCCCTTTTTCTTTCTTATTTTGTGAACGAGTGTCACAAACATGCAGCACACCATCTCCAAGCCTAATTATATCATATAGACACGTTACATTGGCTTCACACATCCACGCCCACACACCACACACCACACACACGCCACCACCATACCTCACATTTCACACAATCCACCAACCCCCCCATCGTCCCCCTATCCCTGATCTCTTGTGTTTGTACGTGGTGTCTTGTGTGCCAAAAACCTCGCTCGTTCCGCTGTGCTGCGCGTGTGTGCTGCGTGCTGTGTATGCTCATCAAAAAAATTGTATGTGTGTGAATAAAATCTGACGTGATCATCGTATGTCGACTAGCGTGTGTGTGTCCACCCCACCCTACACAACACACACCACACCACACAATAAAAAAACAACTGTCGTGATGTAGTGCAGTGTCGTCAAGTGCGATCATAGTGAATATTGCTGTGCTGTGTACTGTGTGCCACAGTGTGCGAACGACACTAGATAGCATAGCTGCCACCACAACACAATCAGCAAAAAATAATACATAAACACAACTAAAAAAAAAATAGTACTGTAAAAAAAATCATAGATAAACAACCCAACACCATAAAAAAAAAAATAGAAAAAATGTTGTGGAAAAATTGTGTGTGTGTTAAAATTATGTGTGTTGTTGTCGTGTGTGTTGTGCGTGTTGGAAAGATGTTGTGTGTATGTAACAAAATGATGTAGATGCGGCGTGTGTGTGTGTGTGTGTGATGTAGTAGTAGATAAAAAACTGTAGTGATGTAAAAAAAAAATTTCAAGCTGTCGATGCGTCGTAAATAAAAACAATTCAAATAATGTGTGTGTGTTGTGTGATCGTGTGATGTGTGTGAGTGTATCGTGTGGTAGTAGTGCCTGTGTGTGTGTTGTGTCGTGTCTAATAAATACAAACATGTGTCTGTGTGTTGTGTGAATGTGTGCGTGCCAGCTCGACACCCCTGCCTGAATCCTCAAAAACAATAAACAAAAAAAAACAAAAATAAACCTGTGGTGTGTGTTATGTGTGACGGGTGCTGTGTATGAAACCTGCTGTGTGTGAAGTGGAGTGTTATGAATAACTAAAAAACAAACCTAAACTGTAGCGATTGTCGCTGTGTGTCCCTCTATACTGCTCCCTAGTTAATAGCCCTTTGTTGTATATTTAATCTTAATTTATCAACTTTTTTAGGATTGGGCCGATATGCTAGAGATAGAGAGTATGTGGGGGGGCGCTTTGGTCTGTACATTCGTGCACCTAGGTCAAAAGATCCTGAATAAAATGGCTCCTGTGTGGCGCTGCGCACTTCGGCAGCGTGACTGCAAGCAAGCGACAATTGCATCAGCGCTCTCGCCATCCAATTTACAACACCTTTTGCAATCCCGGCGACCTGCCCGTGACCATGATCCACCCCCGTGACCTGGCTGCCTTCCCTCGGTCCAATCCCCTGCGGATCATCATTCTTCCCCTGACCTGGCTAATCTGCCGCACTCGGCGGCTGAGGTTGCTGCGTTGTCTGTCGGGGGAATCTTGACCAAGTTGGTCATCTAGCGCTATTTCCACTTCGTCCCTGCACTCTCTTGTTGCTTCGTTGTCTTTGTTTATCCTTTGCTTTGTTGTTGTTGTTGTTGCTTGCTATCATTGCTCTTGTGTTTGTTGTTGTTTTGCTTTGTTTATCCTTACTTTGTTGTTGTTGTTGTTGCTTTGGTTTATCCTTGCTTTTGTTTGTTCTTGTTGTTGTTGCTTGTTATTCTCCTTGCTTGTTTGTTGTTGTTGTTGCTTTGTTATCCAATTGCTTTGTTGTTGTTGTTGTTGCCTTTGTTATCATTTGCTTTGTTGTTGTTGTCTGTTTATTCTTATGTTAATCATTTGGCTTGTTCAGTGTTGATTGCTGTTGACTTTGTTATCATTCTTTGTGTCTCGCTCTGCTTTTTGTGTCGTCTGGTTGCTTTCTGTTAATCAATTTGCTTGTTGTTTGTTGTTTGTTTCTGTTATTCATTGCTTGTTCGTTTGTTGTTTGATTTCGTTATCAATTGCTTTGTTGCC